CATTTTTCTAATTACAGTGGACCCCCCCCCCATACCCGATTTTAATCTGTGCATAGGGTCATTGGTATCGAAATCATCGTATGCGAAGAATTTTCCCCCCCTAAGAAATAATGAAATCAAATTAATCGTGCAAAGACACCCAAACGTATGAAAAAAAAAAATTTTTTACCACATGAAATGTTAATTTTAATACACCACAAACTGAAAAAAGGCATGCACATTACATGACACATCATTTATTGAAAGATCTGGTGATGATTGATGGATGGAGGAGGGAGAGAGAGTGTTAGTGTTTAGAAGGGGAATCCCCTTCCATTAATACTTGAGGTGTCGAGTCCTTTTCTGGGGTTCTCCATTCTTACTTTTAATGCCACTAGGACCAGCTTCAGAGTTCACTGGGACTTCTTTCGCACAACATATCTGACCATAGTGGCTGTACCTCTCGTTCCTTTATGAACTTCCCTAAAGTGTTTCCAACATTGTCAGTGTACAGGTTGCCAACCCGGCTTGCAAATAGTGTGTGAGGGTGATTTTCATCAAAAAAGGTTTGCACTTCAAAGCCACTTTGCACACATATCCTTATCTTTGTAGTAGGCACTTCATCAATTTCTCTACTTCCACCTCCCTCCTCTGAAGCAGTTTCCTCAGGTCTGGCCTTCTGCTGTTGAAGTTGATCTATCAGCACATCAGTGGTTAGGTTCTTCATTGTCCCTCCTCCCCAACTCTTCCACATCCACCCCACAAACCTCCAACCCCAAGGACTTTCCAATGCCACAATGGATTTCTCAACTGGGCAGTAATCCTCTCAGTGTTAGACCTCAAACCCTTCAAAATCCCTTTTGTCTACACATTCTGGCCACAGTTTCTCTGTCCAAGCAGAGGTTCAAGTGTCTTCTAGTCCCTCCCCTCCCAAGCCTAACCTATAAGGTTTCACAGTTGAGGATATTAAAGTGCTCTCTCCCTCCAAAACTCTCTTAGAGTCAGTTGAGTTTTCCTGTGGTCACTACAAAGCACCTTTCCACAGAGCTTTTGTGTACAGTTTTTTTGAAGTTTGCAATAACCTGCTGGTCCATGGGCCTGGCAGGAGAGGAGTGGTATTAGAGATGCAAAAAACTTACATTAATGAAGCTTCAAATGTTCCCCATAAAGTCGCTCTGGCTGGTGCCACGTCTGTAGGATGACCAGGGGCATTGTCAAACACCAGGAGGCACTTAAGTTCTAACTGTCTTTTCAGATAGTATTCTTATACACATGTGGGGGCAAATCAAGGATGTAACCAGTCCATAGAAAAAGTCCCCCTAGTGACCCAAGCTTACTGTTTGCCCTCCACAGCACACCCCTAATTCTCCTTGAGGACCTTCTTTTTTGCCTGAATGCTCTGGGAGTTTCTGAGTGATACACTATTAAAGGCGTAACTATATGGCATCACCAGTAGAAAAAAACATTGGAACACATCAACAAAGTAGCCAGTCTTTTTTCCTAGCATTATGTCCTGGGAGTGCCTTTTTCCTCCTAATTAATGTAGGTCGCTGGCATTTTCTTCCAAAACAGGCTGTTTCATCACAATTAAACACTTGTTCAGGTTTCAGTCCTTCAGTACCTCAATGTTCTGGTCCATGAATTCATTCACATATTTATCAGGGCCGCTTTGTAGTCCGAACTGGCAGCCTCACCATGCCTATCACACTAAGTAATGCCACTAACTATCTTCTAAAATCTCTCAAAACCAACCTTGGCTGGCCTTAAATTCACTCACTCAGCAACTAGTGCAGGCATTGTTTTAATTAAATCCTCATTCAACATCCTAGCCTTTTTCGCTTAATGATCGCTTGAGAGACGCTATCTCCTGCTATCTTGTTTTTCATTATCCACACCAATAAGAAGCTCCTCAAACACCCATCATCACTTGCGATCTTTGTTTCGAAAACAACAAGTTAAACCATACAAGAACACTTCCTTGATTGCCTTTCTGGTGCCCACAATATTTAGCGATGGTTGATTGGGTTTTCTTGTACAACCAACGCAGGGTCCGGCGATACGCACACCACTTTCAAACATATCAATGACTCTTTCTTCATCTCTATTGAATTCTCACCCTTATTGCTGTAGGGTTGGGCACTAGAAGCTTTCTTGGGGCCCATGTTCACTTATTTTCCAGAAAAAGCACCGAAAACACTGTAATAATACGAAATATTCCGATTGTATGCTTGGATGTTACCGCGGAGGCTGGCTGGTAAACAATGCCACCGGCAGCACATTGATGCTGCTGAGGTGCACATTGGACGCTCTCGGACGAAAATTCGGTTGAGGCGGGTTTTTAAAGCGGTAAAGTCGAGTGCAAAATTATTGCGATATTAAAGTAGCGGAACGCGGATTAATCGTTATGTGATGCCAACTGTATGCGGGGGTCCACTGTAAATCGTCATGCAACTTCTTAGCCTTTTCTCATATGATCGCTTGACAGATGCTATCTCCAGCTTTCTGTTTTTCGTTTATTCTCACCAATAACAATCTCTCAACATCTTCGAGTACTTGCGATCTACTTATTTGAAAACAAAGTAGCACTATTGTTGGCCAACAACATCTTCCTTGATTGTCGTTTTCTTGGCCACGATAGTAGCGATGGTTGATTGGCGTTTGGTACACAACCTGGCCAGCTCCAAGATACACACTCCACTTTTGTACTTAGCAATTATCTCTTTCTTCATATCCATAGTAATTCTCACCCTTTTTCCTGCAGGGTTGGCACTAGAAGCTTTCTTAGGGCCCATGGTGACTTATTTTGCAGGTACAATCACTAAAAACGCTGTGATAATATGAAATGTTCCGATTGTATGCGTGGATGCGACCTAACTCGCTGGCTTGTAAATACTGGCACCCACGGGACAACTGAGGCGTGCTCAGGCCACACGTGGACGCGTCTCGAACGAATTGCGTTGGGTGAGTTTTTAACATTAGCTGAGGCAAAAATTTTGCATTAAAATGTATTGTTAGCCGGAATTAACGTAAGCTGATGCAACGTTAGCTGAGGGTCTCACTGTATATAAAAAATAGTAATTAAATAATAATAATAGTTAATAATAATAATAAACATTAATGAACCTTCAGAAGGCTGCCAGTAGTTGGCACACCAACAGCAAAACATTGTAACACCCTACTAGTACACTTTCACCTGACTTAGACTTAAGAATCTATTAGAATTAGGTAAGTCAGCCCGAAATGCCTTGTCATTATGTGGGCTTTTCTTTGCTCCAATCATATTATGGATGTTTAAACCAACATGTAATCTTTCAAAGAAATCAAAATTTATATATTTAATTAAAGGAACCTCACTTGAGGGGAACTCACATCCTGAAATTTTCGTTCGTATCCAGAAGCAAAAAATCGACAGAACGACGGTTCGTAACCTGAACAATTTGCCATGATGGGGCATTCGAAGCCAAGGATCCACTGGTACTGGTAAAATTATAGGCATAGTTTGTTAAAGAAATAATTAAGAGTAAGACAGAGAGTAATTAGCAGATGAAAAGGGAGGCCAAGGTAGGGGGATGAGTAGACCAAGTATTACAGTAAAACATATAGGTGAACAGTATTATAGATAAGGGTAAGAGGTTTATTGATGGCAAATAACGGATTTGGAAAAAGCATAAACAAAATGACAGGGTAGATAAGGGGCAAATTTGGCAGATGTTGCAAATGATGAATAGGAGGTAGGTTACTGAAAGCCAGTTAAAAGTTTTTAACAAGGAAAGTGAAACTCAGGTTTAAGAGTATGAAGAGAGAGGAGAAATTTCCCATTACAAAAGTAAGCCATGGACAAGGGTGTTTGATGCTCTATTGTTTGCATCAAAATAATATAGATGGAGTTGCAAGAGAAGAGAATCCTTGGTGTTGACAAATTGTGAGGAGTTAAAAGATAGGAATCTAACAACTAACACAAAGTGGGAGTTGTCACAGTTGCTCTTTGCCTGATGACACTGTTGAATTTGGTTGATTTTTTCTGAAGAGCGTAGCAGAGGTTGATGGAAGAGTTTGGTCGGTTAAGTAAAAGAAGAAAATTAAGAAGTGAATGTAGGAAAAGAAGAGTCAGGTGAAGAGGAATAAACAAATTGGATATCAGATTGTAGGGAGAGAGATTGAGGAGGTTGAAATGCATTCGATATTTAGGAGTGGACGTGTTAGCAGATGGGCCTATGAAAGATGAGGCGAATCATTGAATTGATAAGGGGAAAAAGGTGACTGGTGCACTTATGAGTCTGTGGAGACAAAGAACTTCATCCATGGAAGCAAAGAGGGGAATGTATGAGAGTATATTTATACCAACGCTCTTATATGGGTGTGAAGCATGGGTGGTGAATGTTGCAACAAGGAGAAGGCTGGGGACAGTGGAGATGTCTTGTCTGAAGGCAATGTGTGTTGTGAATATAATGCAGAGAATTCGTAGTTTTGAAATTAGGAGGAGGTGCAGGATTACTAGAACTACTATCCAAAGGGCTGAGGAGGGGTTGTTGAGGTGGTTCGGACATGTAAAAAGGTTGAAACAAAATAGAATGACGTCGAGAGTGTATAAATCTGTAGTGAAGGGAAAGCAGGGTAGGGGTTGGCCTTGGAGAGGTTGAAGGGAGGGAGTAAAGGGGGTTTTGTGTGTGTGTGCAAGTGGCTTGGACTTCCAGCAAACGTGTGACTGTGTTAGGTAGGAGCGAATGGAGACGAATGGTTTTTAGGACTTGATGCTTGATGTGCTGTTGGAGTGTGTGCAAGGTAACATTTATGAAGGGATTCAGGGAAACCGGCAGGCTGGACTTGAGTCCTGGAGATGGGAAGTTTACTGCACTCTGAAGGAGGGATGTTAATGTTGCAGTTTTATAACTGTAGTGTAAGCTCCCCTCTGGCAAAACAGTGATGGAGTGAATGATGAAAGTTTTTATTTATCAGGCCACTCTGGCTTGGTGGGAGACGGCCGATGTGTTAATCAAAACAAAAATTTTTTTTACTTTCAGAACAAAGGAGACCTTAGCTACTGGGAACTTCCTAAGTGTGATCAATGTGTTGATGCAACTTCGGAAAGTGTGCAATCATCCAAATTTGTTTGAACCTCGTCCAACTGTGTCTCCTTTCATGATGGAAGGCATCTCATATGTGGTTCCATCTGTTGTTTGGGGCATCACTGATTATGACCCATTTAAGGTATGCTTGATTCCCTTTAATTTTACGTGTGAAAATTTGTGTGAATAAATTGTCTTTTACTTTACATTAATTGAATCCTGATTGGGAAATAGTAGCACAGTTGTACAGCCTATACTAGTGCTGTATGTTGCTTTATATTCATTTATGAAAATATTAATATTTGAGATATACAGCATTTCAAGACAGCTGCCCCAAGAGTTACCTGATATGCTATGCCTATAAATTGCTCAGCAAATGTTATTGTCTTCCATTAACTGTTACCATTGATTATTTATTCACTAAGTATAATGTATTTGTTGATATAGAATTTAAATTTTAAATGCACAATAGACTTTAGCCATCGATATCATAAATAACATTAGTTTTGTCTTCATGATTGTTAAATACAGTATAAATATATGATAGTTGTGTGTTTACTATATGTATTATTTGCAGCACGTTGATCTCTTCAGCCTAAATTTTCTATTGGCCGATTTGGAATTGTGCTTAACAGCGTTTGCTGCTCATCGCATCCGCAAATTTCAGGCGCCTCGCCGTCTTATTGAGGAAATTGATTCAGCTCCAGATCCCCCTCCAAAGTTTGTATTTCATACATCATTTAGTATTGCTAGATGTTCATATGTAATTATTGCAGTGGTTTTTCTGTTTTTCTAGACCTGGCTTGATTTTGAAAATCTCATAATGTCAATAATAATTAAAGAAAATATTATTTGAAATATTCCCAGCCTAGTCAACACCCCAAATTTGTTCCCTTTGTAAATAATAGTTTTAATTATACAACATTTTTCCTGCTGGACATCTTAATGGGTTCTGTTATTCACAACATTTTCTCATGTAGCCCTTTTTTGAGGGGGTTGGAGAGCACGGTGCACAACTTATGAATTACAAACTAGACGTAAGATTTGGCTCAAAATGTGCTCAATGGATTTTCCTACCCCAACTCTATGAAGAACTCAGTTTTTCTTTTGAATCTCAACATTTACCAGATTAGTAATAGTATCTCGAGAGATACCCTTCTCTTAAATTCAAAATGTATTCAAATCTAAAACAGATTTTCTTATTTTATTTACAAATTACAAATTCATGAAACCAGTATAAACTTAACCTTTATAAATTTAGGGGTTCAGCTTTATATAAATAAAAGATATTGTACCAAATAAAAATTATATCTGTATCATCCCCAAATTCTTCAAAGGAGTTACGTATATTGTTGTAGATGTTAGGATGGAAATAGTTGTAAGACCTATGTTATGTACAGTATGCAAGAGTAGCACATTGAGGCTAGTGCCCATAACTACAAGTAGTCACATAGAGTTCTGAGAGAAAGAGGGGATATGACAAAAGCAAAGTATACTTTAGGACATAAACAAGAAGGGTTGGAAGAAGTGGGTAAAGGTGGTTTTCAGTGCTAGGGGCGACAGCTTGTGTGAACACATTAGATCAGAGAGTGTGGTGATATGTTAATTTATGACTTGAGGTGCTGTTGGAGTGAGAGAAGGGCAGTACCTGCACAGTGTTAGTCTGAGAGAAGAGACAGTGCAAGTGTGTTTATGTGTGTGTGTGTGCACGCACATACGAGTATGTGTGAGGGGTTTTATCCTCTATATGTGGTTGCAGGGGTTGAGTCACAGCTCCTTGCCCTGGCTCTTCAGTGGTCATGACTAGGTCCACTCTCTCCTGGCTTCAAGAGCCTTGTCTTATCTCTTCTTAAAGCTATGTATTGATCTTGCCTCTACTACTTCACTCTCCTGATTGTTCCAATTCTGACAACTCAAAAGCTGAAGAAATACTTATTAGCATATATCAGACTCATCTGAGTTTGCAACATCCAGCTGTGTCCCATTCCTGTTTCCCATCTCTGAAACATTTTCTCTGTTTACCTTGTCAATTTCTCTCAGTATTTTGTGTCCGTATCATATCCTTCCTAGTCCTCCTGTCCTCCTCTGTCATCAGGTTGAGTTCCCTTAACCTTTCCTCATAGGACATACCCCTTAGCTTTGGACTAATCTTGTTGCAAACCTCAGTACTTTTCCAATTTCTTAATGTGCTTTAACAGGTGTGGGCTGCATAATGGTGCTGCAAACTCCAATATGGGCCTGACATATACAGTGTACAGTGACGTGAACGACTCTTTACTTCGATTTCGAAAAGCTGTTTGCCAGTCACTCACTTGCTGCAGCAGTTATTTGACTGATCTGCTACTCGGGGGATATGCATGGTATAATACTCACCCTGAGGTCCTCCTTTAGTGATGTTTGCAATTTCTCCTCCCTTCCCTCCTAAGCCTTTACTCTGTGGTCTTTGTCCTTTCCCAAGATTCATAACTTTCCACTTGATGGAGTTAAACTCCAGGAGCCATTTGTCAGACCAGGCTTGTATCCTGTTTAGATTGCTTTTTTAGCCTTTCTGGTCCTCGTCTGCTTGTTTCCCCCCATTAGTTTCATGTCATCTGCGAACAGTGATACCTCTGACTCTATCCCTTCTGTCATGGTATTCACATATACAAGAAACAGCACCAGCTCTTGGAATGATCATTGTGGATCCCCGCTTACCCACATGCACCCATTCTGACACCTCATTGTTACAAAAATCGCGATTCTAAAAAGCTTAGAGATTCCAGGGGAATACTAAAAAAGGTCTGCCCTTCTAGAATCCAGCCTGTTACTGGGTTTTCATAACAATTAGTCAGTATCCTTTGCCCAAATTATCCATTAGAATTCAGTATGATTCAATAGTGCTTCAGGATTACAACTGGTAGGCTACTAACTAGAGAAAATAAAATTTAAAAAAATTTATTAATTGTCTAGATGTATATTATAAAATTTAAATTAAATTAATCACAGTAATCAAAATAATATTAATCACTTCTCTCGTGTACAGTATTATTGTGCTGAAAGCACATATCACATTTATAATTCTTAAGTCCCGTTTTGGTACATTAACATTTAACCCTTTGACTGTTTCGGGGCCCCTCTCTGAAACTGTCATTCTATGTCGCCAAATATTCGAAAAAAAAAAATTATTTTTTTTATGAAAATGTTAGGAATATTTTTACTAGTGTTTTAAGCCTAAAAAAAAAATTTTGCCATCAGTACTTACCGAGATAATAGAGCCGCAAAGTTTGCAGAAATTGACGTGCGTACGGCAACAGCGGCGACTGCCGCCCACCCGGTATTCTTTTATTTACTCTAATTCAAAGGTTTCTTGCATTTTTCAATATTTTTCTTTTCCAGGTACTTATGGGGCCTGTGAGCCCAATGTAAGGTGCATTGTTCAATATACACTCATTGTTTACAACACAATAACTGAACAAACTTTATCACTATTAGTTTGTGTAACACTTTGTTTACACAAACAAACAATACAAAACAATTTTTATTACTATTGTTCCATAATATATATACATATGTACAGTCACTAAACACGTTCCTAGAACTGCTGCAGCTTGTGGAACTCTTTGAAACTTTGGGTATATGCAGAGGGGCACTTCACACCCCTTCACACATAAAACGAGTGTCTCTGCGTGTTTGTGGGCGTTTTTGTGGTATGCATACATACATAACACCTCTTCTGAGCATTTTTCTTGGCAGTAGTAGGAGGCAGTTTTTATGGGGTAGTGATCACCAGGCCTCAAAACGAGATGACGTCTGTGGGCGCTGGTCTATTGCAGGAGTTGCTCCTTTGTACTTTGCAATTATTTGTCTGATTACTGACAGGAAAAATTTCACCATATTTTGGTGTTTTGTTGGTCTTCAACTTGTATATGTTATAAGCATTTAGCATAGAGATATAAACAAGATGGAAAAAAAGTTTGATATACCACTTATAACTCTTGCGTACACAGTCTAAAAAACCCCAAATCTGCATGTCACATTTGTCCACTAAGCGCATATTGAGGTTGTAGTCCATGACAGCTGCAGGCTTTAGAAGGTTCATTGGTCTTTTCTGTTGTCCCTGCCACTGGTACCATTTCGTTTGTGTGAACTGATGTCAACAATTGGACATCACGTTTGTCATGCCAACCAAAAATGCCAGATGTCATTGGCAGCAAAGGCTTGCACCTCACCTCTGCGAGTCCCCAGCGCGAACCTTGGCATATGTTTGCGATTACCACGCACTGTGCCACACACGTCTGTCAAGTTCACTTGCAAGAAATCACTGAGTAAGGGGCTTGTGTACCAGTTATCAGTAAATAACATATGCCCCTTACCAAGATATGGTTCCATCATTGTTCAAAACCACACACCAGAGATACCCAATAACTTCATGTTATTCTCAAAGTATTACTGCCGGGTGTACACAATAATATCTAAAAAAGACCACTTCTGCAATCACACAGTACAAATAGCTTTTTACCAAAGCGTTTCCTCTTGCTTGGTATATATTGCTTGAATAGAGTCTTCCTTTGAATAAAATCAAGGACTCATCAATAACAAGCTTCCTGAAGGGATTTAAAAAAACATGCAGCACTTTTGTTTCAGGGTACATAAAAAACATTTCTTATCTTATATAACCTGTCGCTTCTGTCAGGCCTGGTTTTGTCTGAAAAGTGTAACATACGCAACAGTATCAGGAAACGATATACACCAATAATGTCACTAAAACCTGGAGTTGAAATCAGGCGATCTGTTGTCCAGTATGTGGTGACAGTGTGCTTATACACATGTGGCATAAGCATTATTGTGGCAAAAAACAGGTACATCTCTGCCACAGTTGTCTCCTTCCACTTGTGTAGCCGTGATTTTGGTGAGAGAATTGTATTTGCCATGGTGTATTCACAGTATGTGTTGGTTTCCCCTGACAAAGATGTCCATCAGGGGTTCATCGAAGAATAACTCAAAGCAGTCCATTCACTGCTTTTCCAAGTGACAAGATGGTTATCCACTTTGTGTTTACAAAGTCAGGGACGGAACAAAACTCGTCACCGTCCTGCCAATCCCAGATGCGGTCCTGCTTGGTGGTCTGGATATTGTACCGTGGTTGTGGGCTGTGCAGGTTGTGGTGGTGCAGGTTTTTGGCAGTGGGGTAGGGTGAGGCTGGTTGTTCTGCTGAGTCAGCTGCGTGGCTAGTAGCATGGCCCGGTGATGGTGCCACATGGGCCGTGCCACCCTCACTATCACCACCACTGCCTCCTCCCTCACTGTCACCATTCATACCCATCGTTACAATATCGTCATCTTCACTATCAGGTCTGGTGTTGGGCCACGGGATGTGCTCCAGAGTTTTCCTTTTCCCCCTTGGAACAAAATATGAAACACTACCAGACCGCATGCTACGTCGTACATACTGGCGCTTCACTGGGGAATATTCACTCCACTGTCACTAGAACTGCTTTCAATGACCTTGAAACACTATCACTATCACTAAATCCTATCATCGGGTGTTGTACACGACCAAATAGTTTCCCTCTTTCGTCCTGGTACAGGCGAACGTGAACGTGAACAAGCCGGGACAGCACCAAGGTCGAAGGTTGTGGGTCATCTGGGTTTTTCGTCACTATTTACGTTTTTCCTGGGCACTTTTTTCGGGAACACTCACTTGAAAACCTTGAATTCACTGTCACTGACACTTTATCACT